ATTGAAAGACAGTATTGTTCTAATGGTAATATTACCTAATTGGTGTACAGATTCAACGCAATCCCTATTAAAATCACATCTGGCTTTTATGTAGAAAATGACAAGGTGATTTCAAAATCAAAGGATCCAGAATAGAGAAAACAATCTTAGTATAGAAAGAATAAAATAGGATGTCCTGTACTTCTTAATTTCAAAACTTACTACAAAACAACAGTAATCAAGGCAGGGTGGTACAGCAACTAGAGATTATCATACTAAGTGAAGTAAGTCAGAAAAAGAAAGACAAATACCATGTGATATCACTTATATGTGGAATCTAAAATATGACACAAATGAACCTATCTATGAAAAAGAAACAGAATCAAGGACATAGAGAATAGACTGGTGGTTGCCAAGGGGGAGGGGGGTGGGAGAGGGTTGGATTGGGAATTTGGGATTAGCAGATACAAACTGGTATATATAGAATGGATAAACAACAAGGTCTTACTGTATAGCAGAGGGAACTATATTCAGTATCCTGTGATAAACCATAATGGAAAAAGAATATGAAAAAGAATGTATATATATGTATAACTGAGTCACTGCTGTACAGCAGTCATTAACACATTGTAACTCAACTATACTTCAATACAAAATAAATTTTAAAAATTTAGTTATAGAATTTCTATTTCATGTTTTTTATAATTTCCAGTTACCTGCTGAAATTTTCAATCATGTCTTTTATCTCCTATTTAGTAAGAAAAATTATTATTATTATTATTTAATTTTTTTGTTTGGCTGTTCCGCAGAGCATGTGGGATCTTAGTTCCCCAACCAGGGATGGAACCTGCACCCCCTGCAGTGGAAGTGTTGAGTGTTAACCTCTGGACTGCCAGGGAAGTCCCAGAAAATTTATTTTTAAATTGAGTCTTATAATTCCAGTGTCTGGAACTCCTATAGATCTGTATTTGTTGTGTGTTGTTTCTGCTGAGTTTTTTTTTTCATGTTATTTGGGCTCATTTTGTACCTGTCTACCTTTTACTGTGTAGACAGACTGTTGATCAAATTGACTGTAGACTTAGGATGATGTAAACTTGTTGCAGAGAAAATTTACTCTTGTTTATGCCAGATGCCTGTAATCATGGAATTCAGAATCCCCTGAATCTTAATATAGGAATTTGGATAATTAAAAGTTGAGCTGTTGAGCTGTTGATCCAGTTAAAAAAAAAAAAAAAAAGGATTCTCTCAGAAATATAGAAACTAGCCCAAAAGTTTTTCAAGTTCATGTGGTCTAGGATAATCTTTGGTAAATAAAAGCTAGTTTAACTTTGTTGGTTTAATTAAAACAGGCATGTCTTCAGAGTTATCAGCCTTAAATATAATGCAGACATACAGCTTTTATTCTAGCCAGGTTTACTAAAAGTCATGTTATTTCTGTTACAGGATTTGTTAGCAAGAAAAATAACTTAAGTTGATGGTTAGCTGTTTAATGCCTCATGAAATTTTCATGAGTAACCTAAACAGATGAATTACATAGCTGTAATTAAAAGTTTATATGTGAATTTTTCAACAGTAATTATATTTTATGGTATGTCTACTTAAAAATAGTTTCAAAAATCTTTTTGATAACTTGAAACCTTTAAGTTACACTAACTAATGATGGATATGCATTGAATATCTAGATCATTTTCAAATAAAATAAAATACTGAAACTACTGAGCATAGGTTTATCTACTTTGGCATCTTTTTATAAAGGAACTGAAGATATTTCTATCTATCAGCAAACATGTGTTGTGCCATACTGGAAATTTTACTATCAGGAAGGATATACTTTTAGAAATTATGAAATATATTTTTAACTTTACTGATCTGTAGAATGGTTGTGTAACAGGCAGTCCACAATTGCTTACTTTTTAGTTTCACTAGAAATTAAGGTTTCTAAGGGTTAAGAAAGCTAATCAATATATGTAATTAAAAATACTAGAAATAATAAGGGTGAAAGGAAACAACTGTGTATGAAAAGTAGGTAAGGAAAATAGGATGTGTGTTTTGGATAAGAAGAGGTATGAAAGACATGTTTTTGTTAAGGGAAAAAGAGTAATTTTGTTCTAAAGTAGAATTACTGGGTGTTCCAGAATGAGAAAGAGGAAAATACAGGGAAGAAAACCTGAGTGGGTAGAACGTTTGAGGAAAAGGAATCTTGGGAAAGGAATTTTATGTGTGGTCAAGCTGTCTAAGATTAGAATGAATTTATTTGTAAATTTTTAAAGAATGAGCCTTAATATCAAAAGTACACTTGTGCAGGGACTTCCCTGGAGGTCCAGTGGTTAAGACTCCGCACTTTCACTGCAGGGGGCACAGGTTCGATCCCTGGTTGGGGAATTAAGATCGCACATGCCACGCAGCGCAGCCAAAAAAGAAAAAAAAAAAAAGGACACTGGTGCAAAATTAGAGTTTGGTTTTCTCTCTGTTAAAAAGAAAAAGTGTTTGGACTATTGGTCTTCTCTTGATAAGAGATTGTGAAATGCTTCTCTTTACCTTTTGGGTAATCTGCCTGGAAGGCAACGATTTTGTCTTACCAAAATAATTTTTTGTGTTTCATATTATCTTTATCAGGTCTTTGATTACATGGGAGAATTGAGTCTTCTCAATGTGAAAAGAGCTATATTTTTTCACAGTTTTGTAACCTTCTGTATTTACCTTAAAAATATTTTATTGTCACTTTGGTTAAATGGTTAAATAGATAATTAAGTATTGTTTCATATTGATCTGTGATACTGTTTAATCAAATGTTCAAACTTTTGGAATTTTTGACAACTTCCCAAAATCAGATTCTAAATGGAGTCTTTTTGACCTCAAGCTATTTTTGAGATTTCCCAGTGGGTACTTAGAAAATCTAAAAAAAATAGTCTCTCACCTTATAAAAGAGATATTAAAACAATTAGGTTTATTTGGTATGTTAAGTTACATGGAAAACATTGTCAAATAAGTATTAAGCCATCTTAGATTATATATGTATGGTTATATGTTATTAGTATAGATATTCCAGACTTATTTGAAGTTCACAGAAATTTGTCAATACCCTCATTGCCCCGTTATTATCTTAAATTGTCATATGGCACAGATTCATGTCATATGCTAATCCAGGATTACCCTTTTTTCCCTAATTTTTTAATGATATCTTAAATTTTATTGTCCACATGTAAATGTTTTATCATTAGCATTTGCCTTTTCCCCTTTCTTAGTAGGAGAAACCTCTGGAGCCTATTAAGTAGATAGTGGCAGAAAGTTAATTTCAAAAATCTTTAAACCACTTCAGAATTAATAAGCAATAATATTTTACTCTGAACCTACAAACTATTCCATATTTTTTTTTTTTTTTTTTTTTTTGCAGTACGCGGGCCTCTCACGGTTGCGGCCTCTCCTGCTGCGGAGCACAGGCTCCGGACGCGCAGGCCCAGCGGCTGTGGCTCACGGACCCAGCCGATCCGCGGCATGCGGGATCCTCCCAGACTGGGGCATGAACCCACGTCCCCTGCATCGGCAGGTGGACTCCCAACCACTGCACCACCAGGGAAGCCCTATTTTTCCTATTTTTAAATGAAGTTTTTATTTTTATTTTATTTTATTTTTCTGGCCACACCACATGGCTTATGGGATTTTAGTTCCCCTGACCAGGGATCAAACCTGGGCCCTTGGCAGTGAGAATGCAGAGTTCTAACCACTAGACCGCCAGGGAATTCGCTAAATGAAGTTTTTATAATTTTGGGTTTCACATTTTGTTCTGTAAGCCATTTTGAATTCATGTTTTGTATTTGGTGTGAGGTAAGGGTACTTTTTTTGTATATTGATGTCTGCTGTAGACTGAATGTTTGTGTAACCCTGAAATTCATCCAATTGGATGGTATTTGGAATTACCAAATAATTGGATGGTAATTGGCAATTAGGCCATGAAGGTGGAGCCCTCATGAATGGGATTAGTTTCATTATAAAAGAGGCCCAGAGAGCTTCCTTGCCCCTTCTGCCATGTGAAGACATCTGGTTATGAACCAGGAATCTGACCCTCACTAGACACCAGATCTGTCAGCATCCTGATCGTGGGCTTCCCAGACTCCAGAACTATGAGAAATTCCAGTCTGTGGTATTTTTGTTATAGCAGCCCAAACTGACCAAGACAACGTTCAATTGTTCCAGCATCATCTCTTGAAAAGTCTCCACTGAATTCCTTTGGGTCCTTTTTAAAAAATGAATTGACCATATATATGTGGGTCTACTTTTGGACTGTGTTTTATTCCATCAATCTATATGTTTGTCCTTATGCAAATACTACATAGTCTTGATTAATGTAGATTTATAGTTAGCCCTGAAATCAGGTAGTGAGTCCTCTAACTTTGTTCCTTTGCTTTTCCATAGAACCTTTAGAATCGCAGTTTGCTGAGATTTCTATTGGGATGGCATTGAATTTATAGATCACTTTTGGAGAGAATTACCATATTAACACATTGAGTTTTCTGATCCATGAACAGTGTATCTTTTTTAACTCAGGGCTCCTGATTCAATCATAATTTATTAAGTATATGTGTCAAGTACAGTGTAAGGGATGTTAGGATGAAAAAAAAGTCTTTGGGGGCTTCCCTGGTGGCGCAGTGGTTGAGAGTCCGCCTGCCGATGCGGGGGACACGGGTTCGTGCCCCGGTCCGGGAGGATCCCACATGCCGCGGAGCGGCTGGGCCCGTGGGCCATGGCTGCTGAGCCTGCGCGTCCGGAGCCTGTGCCCCCAGAAGGGGAAGACAAAAAAAAGTAGAGGCCCAAAAACCCCAAAAAAAAAAAAAAAAAAGTCTTTGGAAAAAGCAACATAGTAGTGGGTTAAATAAAAATGCCTAACACTGACAGTTTTTAATATTTTTAAGAGCACTGTTACACTTCTCAGTTGGAATTGGTTTGGAATGGGAAGGGATATTTTCAGCTTGAAACTCACTTGTGTAACCCTCTCTGATTACAAGTCCTTTGATTTTGTGTAGGAAGCCAACCAGGAGACTTTTTAGAGCGAAAACTCACACTAAGAAAGGTATGTAAATTTACATGTGGCTTCCCTGAGGTACTGTGGTATGTAGTTCAAATAATCATCCACTGTCTCGTCCACAGATTTGTCTCAGGATACAACCCCTGGTGGACCCAAAATATATGAGTCAAGAGATAAGAAACTACTGTAAGCAAATATAAAATGAACTAAAAATATTAATGACTACTTTAAGAACTATGCAATATAGTGGAACCCAAACAGCCCTGGGGCACTACCACCAGGGTAGGTAGAACTCTGAAGTTGGAAGAGGGGGTTAACCTACATTCCTATAGGAGTCAAATAGGGGCTTTGGCCCTTTGGGAACTATAGGGAATCAGAGGGGCTTTGTCACCATGAGGACTCCATCATATCAGTAGCTGTCAGCAGAGGGTACAGGGCACAACAGGAGTGCCCAACAGATATGGTAGTATCCAGAGAAGAGTGGCAGTCTCTTCTCAGCTACTTGGACTTGTTCCTGGGCATAGATGAGACCTACTCTCAGCCCTCCCCTGAGTGTCTGACAAGGTCCAGGGTCCTACTGCTACAAAGGAGCCCACCCAACACAGGCAAGTTTTATTCCCATTTCACAGATGACAAGACTGACCTTTAGAGCACTGGATCTGTTACAACTGTCAGGTTGATTCCTCTAGCTGAGTCCCAGAGGCAATGTTTTACTTATCATTTTACATTCTGACAACAGGAATTTTAAGTGTCTTCATTGCTCTCATAAGCTCACTGAACATTTCAATTGTTTATCATGTGTTGATTTCTAGATTTTTTATTATGACAAACATAATCCATATCATTTAAGAAAAAGTGGAGATGAGTGAGCAAAGAAAAAAAGAATCATACATGTTGGGAGCCATAGGACGGTAGAGGACCCAGGAGAAGGTGTAGCAGTGCCCACTGACATGGTTACAACTAGGCAAAGACAGGGGATGGGCACACCTTCAGGCGAATGGCATGGAGGTACCATCAGGCGATTGGATTCATTTTTGAGTGCAGGTGAGACCTATTTTCTGGCTACCATGCAGGAAAAAACCATTGCCTCCTTTTTAGTGCAAACATTTTCAGAGTTTTCTCTGTGCACAAATGTATTGTGCAAATGTTTATATTTTTACAAAATTGGGCTGATACTATATATTCGGTTCTGAAAACTGTTTTTTCTTTATTGTTGTTTTACAGTGTACCATGAACATCTCCTCCATGCACGTGGGTGAAAATCCCCTACTGAAACACAGAGAGCACTGTAGTTGGATCAAAAGGCTGCTGGTAACGAGAGTGACACCTAAAGCAAAGAATCAGCTTAAGGTTAAAGCACATAGCCTGGCAAATGCCTGCCAGGGAAAGCAGGGTCAGCGATATTCTCATCAGAGGAGTCAGAATTGAAGGCCAAAGGCATTAAAGATATGGGATATCATGTAAGCGCCTCTGGCCCCTACCTCCGCCCCTCATTCCCCTGACACCCCGTTGGCCCCTTGGGGTGAATGGATCCTGTACATCTCTTTGCATCCAATGAAAGTCACCCATTTTCTGTCTTTTCCTTAGCTCTTCCTGAGCCCTTGACATATCTGCACATTCTGTCATCATCTCCTCACTGCCCAGATGCCTTTCCTGTAAGTTGTTCTGATAGTCCTTGGGGGAATCGTCCGTCCCCCTGTCCGTTTTTCTTTTTGCTTTCCGGGGCACATAGTCTTCAGCGGTGAGCTTTTCGGCAGCCCGCGGCTGACTCTCTGGCTTTGCCTGGGATTCCAGCTTGCCCTCACTGTGTGGTTTTCCCTCAGCTTCGGACTTGTCCTGCTTTTCTCTCTTCCTCTCATCTTCTGGTTGTCCCTGGTCTTCTGGCCGTCCCTCATTCTGGAGCTCTCCCTCGTGTTCTGACTTCCCCTCCACTTCTGGCTTTTCTTCCTCATCTGACTTTCCTTGATTTTCAGGCTTTACTTCATTTTCTGGCTTTCCTTCGCTTTCCAGCTTTCCTTCATTTTCATTGCAGAGTTTTTCCATGTTGAGATGTCCCCTCGTTTTCCTGTCCTGGAGGATGGGATGCGGTGGGGTGGGGAGAGAGAGACAAGAGGAAACAAGGGAGACTGAGGCCTTGGGGGTGGAATGCAGGTCCGGATAGTACTGGCATCTCACCCTTGTCAGCGTTCCCCTGACCTGGCCCAGCCTAGTGTGCCTTCTGGCCACCCTTTACCCCACCATTCCTCCTGCACTGAGAGCCAACCATTTCCCTGGCAGGCCCTGCCACCTTGTACCATCCTTCAGCATGGCAAAAAGTGTGTATATTATATATGGGGGGGATGGGCAGTGGGGCCCTCAAATTCTGCCCAAGCTGTGCCCTCCACACCCGGCCCCCAGCTCTGTGCCTGTCCAGTGCCTCTCCCTCCTTCCGCTGACCTGCAGGGATTCTGGAAAGGTTCCTCCTGCTTTTCTAGCCTTGCAGAGTGCTGAGAACAGACACGCAGACCTGCAGACAGACAGGAGACAGAGAGGGGCTGCACGGTCAGTGGACTGAAGTCACTTTCCTGAATTTGGGCCCTCCTTGTCCAACGTTTCCTCCCCCACCTCCCCTGCATCCAAGCCGCCATTACTTTTCAGGCCTCAGGCACCAGACCAGGATGCTTTCCAAACTATTTTGGATCTCTGGGTCTTCCTCCCGTGCAAGCAACCTGCCCCACCCCCAACCCTTTACGCTGAGGTCAATATTTCCTCCTGGGTGGAGAGTGTGAAAGGGAGTTATTTTCAGAATTTGTCTACGTTTCCCTGTCGCACTGCGGGGGCGCACTCCCCCCCCCCATTTCAGGCTAGAAAATGGATGGAGGGCGCAGAGGAGGGGCGTCGAAGAGGCGGCAGGGCCAGTTGAAGGGTCCTTCCTCCCCACCTGCCCACGCCACGCCCCGTGCCCCTCCTCACCCATCTCGGGACCCCTTCCCCTCTCCCCGCTGCTCCCGGATCCTAGTCCCATCCGCTTCCATCCCGACCCCGGGCCGCCAGCAGCACCCACCTTCACACTGACCTGCAGCGCCCGGGTCGGGCCTGCGCCTACTCTGGCTCGCCTAAGCCCGCTTGCCCTTCGCTCGCCACCCGGGCAGCTCCGGAAGCTGGTTCCGCGCGGGCGACAGGACCAGACCTCGGGGCTGTGGGGGTGGGACGCGGGGGCTGCTGCCCACGTTGGCGCCCTGCCGGTCACGTGAGCGTCGCGTCACCCGAGCCCGGTTTCCCCCCGCCCCGCCCCCTCACCTACATCCCGCAGGGACCGGACAGCTGCGGACGGGCTGCGGGGTGGTGTGTGTGGAAAAGGGGGAGTTACCAACAGAGCAGGTGGGGGGAGGCTTCCTGACTGCAGGTGCTTTACCTGGTGCCTCTCAGGTCCTCGCTCAGCATCCCTCTGAGATGCCCTTTATCCCCAGTTATGACAGCTGATCGCAGAGAGGGTACCCGACTTCTCCAGGAGCGCTCCACACAGAGCCCCACAACCCGTTTTCAAGACCAGCTCCGTCTGACTCCAGAGCCCTGGTGGTGGTGCCCGCCAGGTAGCTGCGCTGCCTCCTTGAGTAGCAGCTATGTCCAGAGCCTCTGCTCTCCTCAGTCCATGTGTCCTCGCTCCCTGGCTGGTCTCTGTTCATTTCCCTCTAAACACAGATGATTTCCTAATCTACATATCCAGGTTATTCCCTCCCTTGAGTCTCAGACCCATTTTGCTTTCCCACCAGCAATATAGGAGAGTGCTTATTTCCCCACACCCTTTTCAACATAGTGTGTGACATACTTTTCACTAGTATGATAGGTGAGAAGTATTATATCGATGGCATTTCTGTTTAACAACAGTTTAAATATCATTGTGAATTGTCTGTTCATGTCTTTTCCACATTTTTCTATTGGGTTGTTGGTCCTTCACACTTTTCAAGTGTTCTTTACACATTAACTATATTAGGCCTTTATCTGTTATATAAGTTGCAAATATTTACTTCCAGTTTGTTAGTTGCCTTTTGACTTTATGATGTATTTCTGCCATGCATTAAAAAAGTAGTCACATTTAATAGACTTTTCTTTTATTGCATCTAGATTTTGATTCATAGTTAAGAACTTTTTTCCTATATGAGGTGAAAGAATTCACCATGTCTTCTTTTAATACTCATAAGGTTAGCTGTATTTGTCTTGAGGTCATCTGTGGTTAAGGAATAAAGGTTAAGGAATAAACCAGTGTCAAAGTGAGTTGAATATTCAGCAGACTCAAAGCACTAGAGTAACAAAAATCAAAGCCCAAGGCTTATTAAAAGGGGAGGGGTTTCTTAGGAACTTCAAATGTTTCACTTTAAGGGTAACTGTAAACTGAAAATAAACTAGCCCTTACAAAGTTTTTTCGCTTGGCTTTGCAACATCTAGGTGGACTAGTAAAGTTTAAGTTTTGAGTATAGATTGAGGTGGTTTTAGACAGGAAGCATCCTTACAGACCTGACCAATGCAAACAAAATCTCTGGAGGAAGATTCCATCATCCTAGGCCTCAAATTATTTCAACAAACAGTTGTTTAAATACAATGCCCATACACAAAGATAAGCAGCAACACGAAGATAAAACCCATCATAGGTAAAAAGCACCAGAGAGAATAGACAACACAAACAGATCCATTAGCTTTGAATTATTTGAGTTATCAGGTACAGACTACTAAACCACAATGCTTACTGTATTCAGATAAATAAAATCCAATCTTGAAAATTTCAACAGGGAACAAGAAATCAGAAAAAGTAGGAAAAAAAAACCCTCCAAAACTAAAAAGTAACTAAGCTGAAATTAGAAACTCAGTGGATGCCCTTAACAGCATATTAGATGCAGCCCAAGAGAGAATTAAAGAACTAGAAATTCTATTCAGATGAAATTATCCATAAGGCTGCATGGGTAGTCAAAAAGACGGAAAATACAGACAGGAGGGTATGATAAGGTCTGATGCATGTTTAATTGGAGTTCCAGAAGGAAAAGAGAAATGGAATTGTTCAGAGGCAATCTAAAGAATTAATGGCTGAGGATTATTCAAAATTGATGAAAGACATTGATCCATAGGATCCAAGGAGTCCAACAAATCCCAAACAGCATAAATAAAAAGAAACCCACATATAGAATGCATAATAGTGAACTTACAGAGAATTCAAGACAAAGAGAAAAATCAAAAAGGTAGCCAAAAAAAAATAGAGTATGCCTCAAAAGGAACAAAAGTTAGGCTAATTACTAGCTTTGCAACAGCAATGATGAAAGCATGAATATGGTGAAATGACATCTTTAGTATCTTGAAAGAAAATCAATGCCAACCAAGAAATTAATAACCAGCAAAAATACCCTTCAAAAATGAAGGTGAAATAAAAGCTTTACAAATAAAAACAGAGAAGAGTTTCCAGCAGCAGGCATAAACCAAAGTAAGTACTGAATTCTACAGGGCATTTTTCAGATAACAGGAAAATGATCTCAGATGGAAGACTGGGGATGAAGAAAGGAATAAAAAGCAATTAAAAGGCTAAATATCTATATAAATTTAAATCAATATTATATAAAATAATATTATCTTGTTAATTTATATTGACAACATAAGAGTCAAGAGAGCTAGAGTAAAAGTATTTAAAGTTCGGGCATTATCTAGGGAGTGTGTAGAAGTATAAATTAATATTGGTCAAGACTTTAATAAGTCAAGACTGTATGTTATAATTGCCAAATAACTATTAAGGAAGAGTAAGAGTGTAAAACTTCTAAGCTAATAGAGGGGTAAAAATAAGAAAATAACCAATCCTAAAGAAGAAAAAACTAACATAAATCAGGTGGGACATAGAGACAGAACTTGGTACAATGGTTATATCCAGTATTAATATCAGTAAGTATATTAAATGTAAATGGTGTACTTGAAACAATTAAAAAACAAGATTTTCAGACAGGAAAAAACCCAACTATGTACTATTTACAAAAGACTATCTGAAATATAAAGATACATAAGGACTGAAAGTAAAAGTACAGAAAAAAAAACATGAAAACACTAACCAAAAGAAAGACATTATAGTTAAATTAATAACAAAATAGACTTTAAAGCAAAAAGCATTACAAGACATAAGGAGTGTCACCTCATGATATTTAAAATTTGCATGCATTTATTAAATTGACCTCAAAATAAATAAAAGTTGACAGAAATACAGGAGAATAAATAAATCCTCCATTTCAGTGTTAACACTCCTATCTCTCTGTGTAAATAAAGTGTTGAAAGAAAAAAACACTAACTTAAAATTCTATACCCAGTGAAATAATCCTTCAAATGTGGAGGAGAAATAAAATACTTTCTCAGACAACAAAAAGTGATGGGATTCAGCATCAGCAAACCTTTCCTTCAGGAAATGTTAAAAGATTTTCTTCAGGCAGCAGAAAAATGATACAGGCCAACAACTCAGATCTACATAAAGGAAGAGCAATGGAAACACAATAAATGAAAGTAAAATGAATTTTTTTTTCTTTTTTCCCTCTCTTTTTTTTTTTTTTGTGGTACGCGGGCCTCTCACTGTTGTGGCCTCTCCCGTTGCGGAGCACAGGCTCCAGGTGTGCAGGTTCAGCGGCCACGGCCCACGGGCCCAGCCGCTCCGCAGCATGTGGGATCTTCCCGGACCAGGGCACGAACCCGTGTCCCCTGCATCGGCAGGCGGACTCTCAACCACTGCGCCACCAGGGAAGCCCTTGTCTTATTCTTAATTGATATAAAAATAACTCTTTATCTAAAGTAATAATGTATTAAGTGACTGTAGCAAATGGATGAATGAAATGAATGAACATTCTGTAATAAGGTATCTGTACTACATATAAGTGAAGCAAAAGAGTGTTATTTGAAAGTGATCTTAGTTAAAAATGTAAACTCGAGGAAAATCATTGAAAATTCTTTTAAAGACATATAACTGATACACTAATAAGACAAGTGGAATCATGTAAAATACTCAATTAAAACTAGAGAAGGCAGGGGGGCTTCACTGGTGGTGTAATGGTTGAGAATCCGCCTACCAATTCAGGGGACACGGGTTTGAGCCCTGGTCCGGAAGATCCCACATGCCGCAGAGCAACTAAGCCCATGCGCCACAACTACTGTGCCTGACCTCTAGAGCCTGCAAGCCACAGCTATTGAAGCCCATGCACCTAGAGCCCGTGCTCCTCAACAAGAGAAGCCACCGTAATGAGAAGCCCATGCACCGCAATGAAGAGTAGCCCCGACTCACCGCAACTAGAGAAAGCCCACGTGCAGCAATGAAGACTCAATGCAGTCAAAGATAAAAATTTAAAAAAAAATGTATTAAAAAAAAAAACTAGAGAAGGCAGAAGAAGCCTCTGGCAACAAACAGAAAACAGTTATAAACATGGTTGATATTAAATCCAAATATATCAAGAATCATTTTAAATGTGAATGGTCTAAATACACCAATTAAAGATAGAAATTATCAGAGTGTATTAAAAAAACCCAACTATATATTGTCTACAAGAAGCCCACTTTAAATTTAAAGAGTGAGAGGTTAAAAGTAAAGCAACAGAGAAAGATCTTCACTAATCAGAAGAAACCTGGACAAAAAAAGAAAGCTGGAGTAGTTACATACATTCAGACAAAGCAGAACAAGGAAAATTATCAGAAATCAGAAGAGGCACTACATAATGATAAAGGGATAAATTCTGAGAAAAACACATAATAATCCTAAACATGTATATGCACCTAACAAAAGTGTCCTAATATATGAGGCAAAAACTGATAGAACTGAAAGGAGAAACTGACAAATCCATTACTAGAGTTGAAGACTTCAATGCCACCATCCAGTAATTGACAGATTAAGCAGGCAGAATATCAATAAGGATATAGTCGAACAGTATTATCAATCAACTTGATTTAATTGACATTTATAGAACATTCCATCCAACATCAGAACATATTTATTTTCAAGCTCATATAGAACATTCACCGAGAGGCCTATTCTAGGTCATAAAACACACCTTAACAAATTTAAAAGAATAGAAATCATAAAAGTATGCTCTCAGTAGAATTAAACTAGAAATCAATAGCAGGATAGATGGAAAACCCAAATATTTGGAAATTAAACAACACACTTCTAAATAACACATGAATCCAAGAAGAATTCTCAAGAAAAATGTAAAAATGCTTTGAACTAAATGAAAATACAACATATCAAAATCTTTGGGATGAAGCAACAGTAGTGCTTAAAGGGAAATTTCTAGCTTAAATGCATATATGGAAAAGAAGAAGGTTCTAACATCAATAACCTACACCTTCTC